TAGCATGGTTTAATAAAAATAAATCACACAGGGCGCCTGGGTGGCTCAGTCGTTAAGCGTCCGCCTTCGGCTCAGGTCATGATCCCAGCGTCCTGGGATCCGCCCCCGCATCGGGCTCCCTGCTCCACGGGAAGCCTGCTTCTCCCTCTCCCACTCCCCCTGCTTGTGTTCCCTCTCTTGCTGTGTCTCTGTCAAATAAATAAATAAAATCTTTTAAAAAAAATAAATAAATAAAAATAAAAATAAATCACACATTTTCATTAGTATTTACCAAATCTTTATTACTGGGAAAGTGGCTTTCCTCTTTGCTATACTTACTGTGTTTCCATTATGATTATTAATGGTCTTTATTCCTACATGTCTGTGGGAAAGTACTGGTGTTATTGCTGCTGACAGTTTTTAAGATGACTGATTCACCCTCAACTTGCACCCCCATTTCACACTGGAGAAAGTGTAGCTGTTTTCACTCAAGCTTTGTTATCAGCAAAGTGAACGAGTGCAGTGTCCCACAGAAAGGGCACGTGGGCACAACTATTTGTCGTCGTAATGTCATTTTTCCTGTTTGGGCCATGAACATACAAGGTCAGTACTCACGTTCAAAACTACCCACACATTCCCTCCCCGCAAGTTCTTTCCACTTTTTTCCCCAAAAATGGTTTTCTAATTTGAGGACAACTATTTGGTTAAGAACTGGTTTGCACTGAAAATTAATATAGAGTAATATTCTTGGAATAAACTATTTAAAAGTTATACTCAAATTTGCCCTCTTTATTCTGTCATAGGAGCATAGGCATAGACAACATTCTAGAGCAATCACCCAACAAGAACAGAGATCCTGGTTTGATCCTCTTTAAAATTCCCTAGGACAGATCATCTATGAGAATGACTTTAATAGCCCTTTTGACATTTTCAAATATCAAATATGCTCCCGTTTAATGACAGTGGAAATCCTGTACCTTAACATCAGGAATTCAATAAAGCGAATCAAAGAAATGTTCTCATTACTCAGCCTTTGATTTTATATGTTCTAGTCCAATATTGACTTTTGTTCATTTAACAAAAGTAATAAGCATATATTTCAGGCATATCTAGCTTTTGTCCTATCATAAAAAAGCAAGACTATATATCATCCTTGTCCCCAAAATGGCCTCTATAGAGATCTTTATGTTTAAATGAAGTCATGCTTAAATGACTGCATATAAATATATTTCCACTTATATCACAAGGATTTCAGTAAGAGAAAGCATTTCTTTCTGAAATCAATTCACAAGTTGATCTGATCACTTTCATATGTAGAGTAACTGCTGCCATTTTGACACAGATTTTTTTGAGATGTACATATTACCCAACATGACTCTTTTGCATGCCATATTAAGGGACATTTAGGCTTATATTCTACAAAAGACACAATAATAGCTACATTGACAAGTGCTTACTACCTCCCAGAGCCCGTGCTGATGCATTCCTGGGAGGTGAGTATGGTGGCCCCATTCTACAGATGAGGAAAGAAAGGTTGCGAAATGGTCCCCTGTGTAGGCGGCTCTGAACCTGCACTGAATATGCCTCTTCATAAAGCATGACAAATATGGATCCAATTTCTGCATCTTAACCATTTAGGGCTAGAAAGAATTTATGTACAGCAAAATACAAAGAATCCAGAGAAGTACTTGAGGCTCTTTCCCATCTCACTGCAGACTATTAAGTTGAGAGGAGTATCATAAGCATAAGATGGCTCACTATTTCTGTGTAATAAGCAGAGTCCCAACACACAGCCCAAGTGACTCTTGGACATTTCCTTCATACACCTGAGTTCTGTATTAGTCTAGAGGACTGAACTGATAGGGGTGATGTGGAGCCTGGCAGAACTGTCTACATCAGAGCCTGCAGGAAGAAAATGCTAAAAACAGGAGGTCACTGTTGCTTAAGTTAGGCCTAAGATAGGAGAGCCAGGAAGTGCTGCAGCCCCTATGGGAAAACCCACTGGTTCTCTAAGGTTCACTCAACAAAGGATCATTACACAGCTATTAAACTGTCTTAAATGCAGCCCAGGACAGTATTTCTACACAATATCCTCTCCTGCAGGGAGCATTGCATAGAAATCTGGGTCAACTCAGTTATCAGGTTAAGCTGAACCATAAATTAATTTTCTATTCCCTGGCCATTCCTTGGGTTTGAAGCTATTTTTTTTTTTAAAGTTGAGAGTAGAGCAACGCACAAAAGAATATTTTCTGCTGCAGATTTAAGGGGCTAAGAAATGGAGAGGAAAACCACTGTTGGTAAACAATTATTCTTAAAAATTATGCAAATGTTTTACTTGTGAGCCCTCAAATGGGGTGGAACAGGGAAGCAATGTGTGAATGTCATCTAGAGGTGGGGTGCTGAAAGAAACCTGACAATGGGAAGAGGGAGGAGGGACACCTGCTAAATGCCTCTGTGGTTTATGCTTACGTGTGTACCTGGGGGTGGCTGCGGGCGTGCCCAAGAGTGGGTTCCAGGAGGCATATCTCTGTGGGTTGTTTGTTGAGGCAGACTCTCCCTATGCCTGAACTAGTGAGTTCTTAACTCCTAGGGTCACCACTTAATAGTTTGGAACTAAATAGGTAGTTAGAGCATGCTACAGTCAGCCTCTTTGCAAATACATGCCTTTGGTGAGTAGAAGGCTGAATCCCCCAGGGCTGTTACTAGGTGGCACTTACCGCTGGCCTGACACACTTGTCCCGCCCTTGGGGTTGGTCGGCACCCCTTCTGCAATGCTACATGTTTTTAATATTAACCCTGACCCCATTGTCCCTACAGAGGGGAAGGTAGGTCCACACTAGCACCATTCCCCAACTGAAAACGAGGCTCACCACTGCCTCTGATGTTCAGGGAGCACCCTTCCCTGCCTGTGAGGCTCTGCTTTCTGACTCTTCATAGAATATCCCCACCTGTCCTAGGCTGCTGCTCAACCCTACTGTCCTCACACTCCTGCATCTTATTCCTGAGAACCTTCTGCCTATACCAGATTGACGATCATTGTTCCTCCCAGGAAATCCATCCTGTCTTGACAGCAAGTCCCAGACTCTTCCTCAGCTTGGCTTGATGCACTCGTGTCCTATGCACTTTAGTTGGACAAGCAGAGCAGACTTCTTTCAACACACTCATGATGGCCACAAGCAATAATAACAGTTTCAAGTCCACCGAGGCTATCATTATGCACATTTTGCCATCTCTTGCTACTAATGTATAACAGGACACAATGTCCACGTATGTTCCAGGTCCTCAAACTCACTCAAGGAAAGCTGAGGCTTGTTCTGATTTAACTTTACACCGGTGTTTGCTCTTTTGCTTACTAGCCTTGTTTCTATTTCCTCAAAACAAAATTTAAAGACAGCTCTTTAATAATGTATCCTAGACTTTTTCAGGGAACGACCATCTCCCAGAATCTAGCCTTTCCTCCCTTTTGAATTTGGACATTTGTTCTTCTTTCCCCTCTCCTGTGGAGTCTCCTTCCCACACAAAAGGCCCACTGCTCTCCTGCCTCTCTAAGGTGGCAGTTGGCTCCCAGCCTCAAGGGAGAGCCTCCATGCCTTCCCTGTCATAGGAAGTCAGTCCCTCTGACTGACCCTGCCTCAAGCTGTCCACTATCAGAACAGTACCATGCCTATTTATTCAGGAAAAACTGCATTGAACAAAAGGGTTTAAGATGCTCTACTAAGAACTGAGGAGGATACAAAGAATTCTGTCCCTCAAATAACTGACAGACTAGTTTCTCAGGCCTTGACCGTGACAAGCTTACTATTTCTGACAAACTCACATTCAGAACTAAAGACTGCATGTGTTATCCTCCCAGAGACATTAGCTTTTTAAAAGACTTAGCATGACATACCTGACAAATGGCTTAAAAAGTTTCTAGTGAGAATCCTGAATCATAATGCTAGTAATGTGAACAGAAGCCAACAAAAAGAAAATGGACAAGCTGATAATTCTACTTCAAGTTCAAGCTTTCTACAAAGTTGCACTATGAAGTAAAAACAATGAGTTTGAGCCCCACGTTGGGTGTAGAATTAACTTAAAACAACAACGACAACAACAACAACAACAAGGAGCGTCTGGATGGCTCAGTTGGTAGAACATGCAACTCTTGATCTCGGGGTCATGAGTTCACTTAAGAAAAATAATAATCATTTAAAAACAAATAAATAAAAAGAATCTTAAAGAAAAAAACCACAATGATAATTCTACACTTGATCTTAGCCAAAAGGCCAAGAGCTGATCAACACAATGATAATTCTAATGAGGTTAGCCAAGAAGTAAATGGCAAAAAATGTGAATCATCTAAGAAAACCATTTCAAATCTGGCTTTCTATATATTACCCTTAATGATGAATTGCATGCTATGTGTTGCCTTGATGTATTAGCTAATAAATGCATGAAGATATCATTACTGATATTATTTAAAGTGAAAAGTTACTTTATCTTTAATTTATTTAGTTTAATTCATGTGTTTATAGCATATCTCATGTATTAGCACTATAGTATCTCTACATCATAATTAATTAATATACATACATTGTGGTCTGTTGCACAAAACTTTTTTAGTGATAATGGTGTGAGATCACAAGACATTAGAAGAACACAGGTTGGGACCATGGAGAGTCTATTTGGCTCATAAACTCTTGAAGATGAAATTTATCCCTTCCCCTGACATTGCCCTGTCAGGCTTAGTGGGCCTTCAAAATTTGTACCAGAATGCTTCTGACAGCAACAAATAATTAAAAATAGCTTCTGAAGGAAGCTTCTGAAGGATCAAAGTCCAGTTCTAAACAGTGGAAAACAAAACTGCGTGCTCACCTCTCTTCTTTTTAACTTACATTTAAATAACCTGCTAAGCCTATTGGGTGAGTTACCTGTATGCCTGTTTGGCCTCCTTTTCTGTTCAAACCAGAAACAACCTAAACTGGATCTGTTGGCCTGTCACTGAGAAGAGCATGATACCTGGTAGCTAAAACAGAAGTCCATGATGTTCGCTTCCACAGCACATGATTGGAACAATATGGAGAAGACTGTCATGGCCCCAGCACAAGGATGACACACAAATTCATGAAGTGTTCCATGTTAAAAAAAAAAATGGAAGAGCATGTATTGAGCAAAGTTTCCCCAAGTTTAACGGATACAACTAAGTAACTTCATTCAACAGTTTAAACACCTTGGGGGTTAAACAATGATATTGTCTACAGCTACATTATAAGACATTATATAAAATCAACATGAACAGATATTTTTCCAAAGAAGACATCCAAATGGCCAACAGACACAGGAAAAAGTGCTCAACATCACTC